TGAGTCTATCCTAGACGATTATCCGGCATTCAAGTTGTCTGCGCTGAAGTAAAAATTATTTTTGTCGGGCGTTTGTTGTGCTGTTAAAGTCGACGAAATTTGAATGTAATTGGCAATCGATCAAAATTGTGTCTTCCAACGACTAGTCTTCGCGGTGCTGCAACATGACTGATAAGATCAGAAACAAACTCAGATTCTCTAAATGGTCTGAAACCGTGCTCTAATTGGTTGAAAACAAGCAGGTGGCCTGCATGTAGTCGTTGCACTGTGGGATTATTGCAAGCTTCATATAATGAGCTTTCAAATATCAGCTTTCCGACTTTCGTAGCTAAACCGTTTTAGAACTTTTAGTCAGGTGCAATTTCACTGAAAAATGTTTTTACAGAATGGCTTTTATAGAATAGAAGCAATTAAAGGCGAATCCCATTTATAAAGCCTAATATGAAAGGATGAACATTAAAGATCCTAAAAGACAGTTTTGTTTATAAAAGAGGAGGGTCAGTTTATCACGTAATCAAAGCAATTTGAATTGATTTCTAACAGGAATACGTCTGATTAATATGAGTAAGAGTGCTAGCCATTTATCGCAATATGTTTTTGAACCTTTAAAGTCGCGTAACGGTCAATTTCCTTTTTCTAAGTGCCCTTCGGACTTAAGTTATCCAGTAATATTTTTAAATCTTCCTCGAAACGTCGGAGAAACGAGAAAACGTTGCCATTATGTGGACAACCTTCAACCACAGTACACGAATGGCTGATAGTGCGCGATAGCTCAGCCAATCAGATTACCGCATTTTTTTTAGTATACTATTAGAATACTGCCATAAATATAAATTTAGTCTAGAAGACATGCTTTCCTATCAGCAAATCTATAAGCTACCGTCAGTATCAACACTGAATTTAGCAACCTGTTAAGATCATTAATTATTAACAACAAGCTCGTTTGAAACTTAATGAGACTGTGAAATGCCAAATAGGTACAAACGTGCTGATATTCAGTTTTTCAACATTCATAAGCAATGCGCCCAGAAATGAAATTCAAATATTCTTGCCCGAACAAGTAACCCATGAAATTAGGCGAAATCTGACAGAATCTCTCAAAATAGTAATCAGAATAGTATTTGATAGAATCGGTTTCTTCAAGAGCCATGCTTTCATGCTTTGCATGCACTAATTTTAACGCTCAAATCTGGCGTCTCACTTCGTCTTTCAGCAGGTGGCAAGCGTTGTTTACTAAAACCAAGGTAACTTCTAAAATGGTAAAATATAAATTACCGACTCCTCGGAAATGTGACCGTCGACATATTTGCAAATTATTGCCGCGAAAAGACGATGCTAAAAGTCTATTTCGAAGTTTTGTTGAAGTGCTTAAAAGGGACTTCTCATTTTACATCAAAACGCCATGAAATCGTTATAGAGAGATGGTTTTGTTCAGTTTTCGTTGTTGATGCGAGTAAAAGGGTTATTCGAAACAAACTAATACGAATAAACCTAAAGCTAGCTGGCCTTGCGCTTTAATCCTTCCACAATTAACTTTAATTTCTCGCTTTCTTCTAAACGACAGGAATACAACTTCAACGTAATCAAGACCAAATATTAATGCATAATTTTGGTGTTACTATTCTGTTAAATTCGCAACACACTGATGGCAGCTGATTACATCTGAACGTTTGCAACTTACCATTTTCTGTGAAATCCAGCGATTATTAACTCTGCCGATTTCCCAATTTTAAGTTTACACGGTCCAAGCCCTGAAGATCCAGCCAGAATTAATTACCATATTATTTTGAATGCCAAATTGAGCGAGCTCTTTAACGTAAATTCCCAGACGCCTGTCTTGTCAGTCTTTCTTGTGATTGGCTAACAACAATAGGACCAACACCGGAAATCAAGCATGCGCTAGGTATACCGGAAAGCTTTAACTAATTCTCT